TTTTTTTTTTTTTTTTTTTAATTTTAAGATTTTGAGAAAGCTTCTCACTAAATTGCTCAGGCTGGCCTTTAACTGGCAGTCTTCCTGAGTAGCTGGGATTATAGGGGTGCACCAGTGCCCCCAGTTTGCAAGCTGATTTTTAGTGATGAAGACTAAAAATGGATACATTATGGCATTTAGCTACATTTAGCAAATTTTAAGATGTGTCTGCTGAATAACATCTGATCTCTACTCCTTTTTCTGGAGTAAATTTTTTATTTTTAGTTGTGTGCCAAAAGTTGGAAGGTTTGACATGTTTTTCCTTTAAGAGCTTTTATTGTGTTTTGTGTACATTGAATGAATAAAAGGTTTAAACTTTTATTATATGCTAGCTGTTAATTGGAAAAGTACAGGAAGTCTTAAAATATGTATAATTTGATATTTTTGTTTTTATTGATGTATGTTCATCTTTGTGATTAGTTCTTTTAAAATGATATATAAAGATATCTGGAAGAAAAATGAGATTTTAACTGACTTGAAATGTGAAATCATAATTCTAAATATTTTCGTAGAAAATAACAGTACAATATATAGGAATATAAATTCCTTCATTGTGACATATTTCAAATAGTTTATTTTTTTATTTTCAGTTATATTTATTTGGCTGAATGAGTTAAGATTTAAATTCATGAATAATCTCTAAGCTCCTTTATATAGTTACAAATTTAAATCTTTTCTACAGTTAAGGACAGTAGTGTAATTTCAAGTCTTATGTAACTTTCTTAGTAGAAAATTATGTTCAGTTTGGTGTATAATTTACAAATCAGTCGCTGCAGTAGGAATTATTTATGCTGGCAAATTATTTCCAGCCTTTAAAAAAATTAATTATTCTGTCTTTCTCCTTAGATTAAAATAAAAACATCGCTTTACCATGGACTTTTAAAAAGTTTCTGACTTTAGATAATGTGAGCTTTCTGAGGGCTTCATGTGATGGTTTTCATTATTACAAGTAGGTCTTGGTTTGTGCCCAGTTGACATCATAATGTATAGAGGTTGTAGTTGATAGGTCACCTTGACAGAATTGGGCCCAACAAAAATCTCTCGTCTTTGACCAGAAAAGATAATGCAATTACTTTTGTGTCTGTATAGGTACATTAACATGGAGTTCATTTTTTTCCTCTCCTGTGATTCTTGTAATAATTTTCCAGTTTTATTTTTAAAACATTTTAATATGCAAGACATTCTAGATCTGTACTACAGCTGAGGGTGTGGCTCATTAGCCAAATGCTTGCCTATCAGGGTCCTGGGTTCAATCCTGAGTATCTCAAACAAATAATTTTGGATCTGCACTGCTGTTGAGCACTAGATAATGGGGCTAGTATGAATTGTGCTGTAAGTGTGGTGTAGAATAAACACTGGATTTCAGAGCAAACAAACATACACTAATGTAATCACGTTTTTATATTGAATGCATATTAAAATTTAATATTAAAATATCAATATTGTAGAGATATGTTTAATAAAATATAATTTGACTTTTTATTAGTCAATGTGACAGATTTGAAAATATATGTGTGGCTTGCAATATATGTGAGTTAAGTAATGCTCTTCTAGAACTTTTAATTGAGAAACAGTACATTATAGAAAGGATTTTCTGAAGATACAGTATGCTTGAGTTTGAATACCTTCTCACAATGTGGATATCTTTGTGCTGGGGATTTAGTTCAGTGATTCCAGTGCCTGCCTGGCAAGTTAAAGGACCCGCAGTCCCTGGTTGGGGGCAGGGATCAATAGCTTTGTGATTGTGGGTAAATTATTAATGTTTTGAGCTTGGAGTTCTTCCTTTATAAGATGGATATAATCCCATTTCACAGATTTTTTTTAAGGATGCTGTGATGAGATGGGTCTACCATAGCTTCATTCTATGGGTCTCCAGCGGGGCTTCAGATTGTCATGTATAAGGCACCCCCAGATCAGACCTGCTGCTTGGGGACATTCTTTTTATGATGAGAATCTAGATTGCTGCAAACACTTTAGTTCATTTTTTTCCTCCAGACTTTCAATGTCCGTTTGGTCTCCACTTTGAAAATTATGCATAGGATATATAAATTCAAAAATTCACCACACCATGCAAGATTTTTAAAAAATTGTATGTACTGTGAACTCTTAGAGATACATTGGTGGAGTAGTATTACTGAATCGCAGTCTAGAAGAGTGGGGGTATGTGATTTACATTTTTGTTTTTGGAAGGATAATGCATAATTTAAAGTGAAGTAATTTTAAGAGTGCAATAATAGGGAGGGTAGTAATTTTATTGTTAAAGATTTTCAAGGGTAGAAATGAAATCATCAACATACTCAAAATTGGTGAAAGGCATTCTAAGTGTGTTCTTACAATTACTCGAGGAAAAGAAAAAGTAAAGGACTATTGTGTTGGGCAAATATATTTTGATTATGTTTTGTGGAAAAGGGCATTTATTAATGTAAGGAAAGGTCATAATGGCATATGGATTGTATTTCTGATGTACTGCTAGCCGTAGATGTTGGTAAAGCTCTTCTATTAAAGAATGATCAGATTGAGGGAAAATGTCTTTGTTCAATAGTAGACACTTTGCTATTTTTTATTGCAGATAGACCCTTGCTCTTTTTTTTAATCTGTTAAGGACTTTTTCAAGTAATATATTATTTTGTTGAAAAATGCTAGAATCCACTTTAAGTCTTCAGTTAAGAGATTGAGAGAACTACATCCCCTTGGACTAATTATAGTTTTTTTTTTTTAACCACTTTTGTTCTGATATATGTGTAGCAAAGCTTTTACTTTTAATGCTTGTGGCTTTAGCTTCATTTAAATTCTGAAGTAGTTCTAAAGAAAAGTCACAATTTCTTTTAAGTGGCCAAATATGGGATATTTAGAAAGTTTTTATGAATTATTTTGAAACTGTTTTGCCTCAGTTTATCTTCCATTAAACACCAGTGTTTGTTTCAGAAGTAAAGTACTTATGGACAAGACTTTTTATTATTTTTCATTTATTTTGCATTTTATGTATTGGGTTTCTCATGTAAGAGAAACTATGCACTATTTAAGCTTGTGTGTGTGTGTGATTCACTATGTACCAAGGTGATGATACATTTTAAATTTTAAATTTCTGATTAAGTCCAGTTTTTCTGTTGGTTTCTTTTTCTTTTTCTTTTTTTTTTTGAGACAGGGTCTTGTTATGTAGTTCAGACTGGCCTTGAACTCACTATGTAGCTCACGCTGGCCTTGCACTAGCAGTGATCTTCCTGCCTCAGCCTCCAAGAACTGGGACTGTAGGTGTGTACCACCATGCGTCACATGTCTAAATCTTTTGCCAATTCTGAAGTCATGAAGATTTTCCCCTATATTTTTTTCCAAAGGTTTTACAGTATTTGGATCACTGATCCACTTTGGTTCTGTATATGTAAATGGGGATCTAGTTTCAATCTTTTGCATGTGGAAATCTAGTTGTCCCATCATTTATTAAAGAGAGTATTCAGTGGACTTGATTCTTTGAAAAATCAGTTGGTGCTAGATATATGAGTTTATTTCTGGATTTTGAATTCTATTCCATTGCCTCATGTGTTTGTCCGTAGACCAGTAACATACTATGTTGCTTGTGGTAGCTGTGTACTAAAGTTTTGACATTTGAAAGTGAAAGCTGTTTTATCTTTCTTCTTCTTTTTCAAGGTTATTTTGACTATTTGGGATCCCTTTCAATTGTGTATGAATTTGAGGATTGATGTGTCAGTTTCTGCAAGAAAGGCTGTTGTGATTTCGATTGGAATTAGTTGAATCTCTAGATCACCTTGGGTAGTATTGTTTGTCTAAACATATTAAGTCTTCCGATCCATGAGCACTGGTTGTCTTTTTAGTTACTTAGCTTCTCTTTCTTTCAGTAATATTTAAATTTGTAGTTTTCAGTGTAAGAGTTTTCCTTGGTTAAGTTGATTTCTAGCTATTTTCTTCTTATAGATGTTACTATCAATGGAATTGCTTCTTTGATTTCCTTTTTTTGGATTGTTAGCTACAAATAGCATATAGAAGCACATCCAAGATTTGGGGTTTTTGTTTTTGGTTTGTGTGTGTTTGAAAGAGAAATTTGTAACCTGCAATTCTGCTTATACTATTAGCTTTCTTGGAATTCTTTGAGAAATTTCTTTGTGAGAATAGGGGATTTTTATTCTTTGTAGGAATAGGGACAATTATTTTTCTGCTTCTTCTTTGCCAGTTTGTATGCTTTTATTTCCCTTTCCATCTTTTGCTGTGCTAGAACTTTTAAATAGTGTTTAGTAGCAGTGGTGAAAGCAAGCATCCTTATCTTCACTTATTTATATTTTACTTTCACAATAAAACTTGCCACTGAATTTTGTCAAAGATTATACATGATTGACTAATTATGTTGATCCTGATTAGTCTAGTAGTTGATGTTGAAGTTTCTTTCTTTTGCAGCCCAAAGGATGAACCAGCAGTGGAAGAAAAATGCTGCCAGCTAGCTGACTGCTGTTGAAGATGATGCTTTGTCTTTGTGGGGGTCACCTGTGGGATCTGCAACAGAAATGTAAGTAGAGGGTGGATTTTCCAAAGCTGCGGTAGATTTGTACAAAATAGAGTAAATCCAATGTCTATCACATTTAGTTTTAATTTTACAAAGTGAGTATTTTGTATTGACTTGTATATGTTTAATCAGGTTAGCAATTTTATTCACATTAAATTATCATTGTAATATTTCCAAAAAAAATCTCATAGGGAAAAATCTTTACAAGAAATGAAACTGAAGACAGGAATTTGCTTAATATAGGCTAAATAAAACATGGGAGTAATCTAGGGCTAGAGTCTGCCTTTTCTTTACACGGTAATTACATCGTGTTAGATACAGTAGTATCAGTTATTTTAAATAAGAGAGACTTCTTAGCTATAAAATTAGTTAGTACAGACTTCTTTCATTAAATTTAAGGAATTTCTTCCGACTATGACTGATTTTTTAAATTAATTTTTAAAAATTTCTGCTTTTTTCATTTTGATTTAATCTAATTCAGTTTTATTGATTGTATTTTCCTATCCTTTAGTCTCTTTGTGTAATATACTTTAAAGTGTTAGATTACTATGATTTTGCTTATAATGAACTTTGTTCTATTATTGGTGAAGTATTTCCCACATTGAACATTATAGTTCTGTCTTCTCGATTGATAAACATTATCTATCTTGATATCATTCATGCAAAATGCAGTGAACAGTTTATCGACTTTCAAAGTCTTGGGATTAGGGTTTAAATTATTGAATCAGAGTAAGCTTTGTAGATACTGTTTCACTTTCTCTTAGTTTGACATAAGACTCTAATTTTGGTGATAAAAGTATGACCATACCACTCTAGTTTGGATGTCACCACTTGGCTGGAAGTTTTTTTGCTCAGTTCAGATGGAAATCACGAATTGGCAGTGACTTCCCTTTATGACTTTGAGTGCCAGTGACTCTCAGCTTTTATTGTTAGAGCTCTGAGCTTTGAGTGCTAGTGCCTCTTAGCTCTTACTGTTACAGCTTTAGTCTTATAGCTCTTGGTGCTATAACTGTTGGAGGATGCCAGCTGCCCTTAGTAGCTCCTTGGCTTGTACTCTCTTGATAGATTTCTGGAGCACTTTCTGCAGCTTCCTACCCAAATCCCCCTGCTCCTGGCTCTCCTGCTCTGTCACTCTCTGGAACTCTCCAGCAGTCCTTTGGCTGTTAGTCATTGTCAGGGCTAATAGCCCTTTTTGTTACCAGGTCTTAGTGGAACCCACCCAGTAGGTAAGACTTTCTTGGGGCCTGTATGCAGCACAGAGGAGCACAGCATGGGAGGGAGCCCACCTGTACTGACCAAGAAGTATAAGGGACACTGCTTAGGTAGGGAAGAAGCGGTCTGTGGCTGACCTATTCTGGGACCTTGGAAGTAATGGCAGAGTAGGTGTGCATGCAGGATGGAGTGATCTGGGAAAAGACGATGTCTGAAGTGCCGTAGCCTAAGTACACACCTCCTGGATGGCTTTAATAGGTCAGGGAATAATCATGATTGTAAACAAGGTCAACTACTCCAGAAGTAGGGTGAATGAACACTTCTTTAGTACCTGCTGTATTATTGGGTGCTTACTGGATGTTTTACTTGAATTAACGAATTTAATCCCTGCATATGATAGGAGTGCCTCACTTAACAGAAGAAATAGAGAGTAAGTCACTTGCCTAGGTCAGTGTTTTACCAAGTTTCTCTGAGAAGAATCCCCATGCACTTACTTAAAATGCAGCTTCCTTGATTCTAACCCAGACTTTTGAGTTCAGATGTCCAGGAAAGAACAGAATAGCTAATTCCTACCTTTAGCACGGGAACTAGCACAAAGAATCAACAACTCGGATCTCATCTTTTTAAAAAGCTGCACTGTAAGAGAAATCACCAGCAGAGCTAAGAGACAACCTACAATATGGGGGGAAAATTTTATCAGCTGTTCCTCAGACAAAGGGCTACTATCTAGAATATACAAAGAACTTAAAAAAAAATCAGACCCCCAAATATAAAGACCCCATTCAGAAATGGGCATCTGAAACAAACAGACATTTCTCAGACAAAGAAGTAAAAGCAGCAAATATGAAAAAATGTTTAGCATCACTGGTCATTTGAGAACTCCAGATGAAAATAACACTGAGATTCCACCTAACCCTGAGAGAATGGCTGCTATCATGAAATCAATGAATTACAAATGCTGGCCAGGTTGTGGGGAGAAAGGAACCCTTCTCCATTGTTGGTGAGTGCATGCTGGTGCAACCACTGTGGAAATCAATACTGTGTTATCTCAGAAAAGTAAGATTAGAGGTCCCATTTGTTCCAGCTTTTCTTCTGCTGGGTATCTACCCAAAAGAATTAAAAGAATCATAACAGTGATACATGCACACCCATGTTTATAGCGGCAACATTTGTAATAGGTAAAGCTTGGAAACAGCCCAAGTGCCCATCAACTGGAGACTGGATAAAGAAGATGTGGTTTTTCTTATAAAATGGAGCACTTCTCAGCCATAACGAGAAACTAGAGACATTTATAGTTAAATGGATGCACATTGATTCAATACTCTTAAGTGAAATAAGTGGGCCACATGTGTAAATACTGGATAATTTCTCTGGTATAAGAAACTGAAACTGTAAATAAGGATCAAGATGAATAATAGATATGTGAAATAGGAAGAAAAGGTCTAAATGGGTAGGGGAATTGGGAGGGGTAGGGGAAAGGAAAAAATACGAGAAAAGGAAAGAATGGAAACAATATTTGTAAATAGGAAGGGGTAGAGGGTTTGAAGGGAGGGCAGGGAAAAAGGGAAAAAATAAGAACCAAGATACGTCATGGAAAGGTACAAGTTCCCAATGATTAATGTAACTATTATATACAGAAAATGTACCAGTAAACTTAATGGAAAAAGAAAACAGATACTTTTTTTTTTTTTCAGATAATTGAAATCTTTAAAAACTTAGCATTTTGAATCTTTGTTTATTGAGGAGCCAGGGACACAGAAAAAGCAGTAAAAGTATGAGATTGTCATAAGGTTAGATGTGCTGTGAGGAAACCCTAAGAATGTTTTCCAGTTTCTGATGAGTGTAAACATTTTTTATTGACTATCACATTTTTAAACTCTGGAGTCACTTTTAATGGGCTTGTTCTTGCACTGAAAGTAAAGGTTCTTATGGTAATTAAATTATAAACATTTTGTGTTTAAAATGGTAGAATTAATTGATAGGTTGTCATTCCTGTTAAAACAGCACTTTATTAATGGCTTCAAATCTTTTGAGATTTTTACCATCATTTCTGTTTACTATTACTCTACTGTTATTTTTCTCCCTTTTAAAAATATGTGTGGTTTCTTATTACTTTTTAAAAATCAAGTCCTCTTTCTTTAGCAGAGAGCAATAATGCTTTTGTAATTTAATTTCTGATTGCCTTTTCTGATTCCATTGCTTATGTGACTCATTGCCTTGTGTATGAGGTGTGAGAGATACAATGAATGCTTAAATTAGAAGAATATATTACAAGATACCTTAAACAACTAGGGTTAGAAGTCCCATTTGACCCAGGTGTTCCTCTGGTGGGTATCTTCCAAAAAGAAAATCATACCACAGCGATATATGCTCACCCTTGTCTATAGTGGCACAGTTTGTAATAGTTAATGCTTGAAAACAGCCCAATTGCTCATCAACTGGAGACTGGATAAAGAAGGTTTTTTTTTAAATAAAATGCAGTACTATTCAGCCAATGAGAAACTAGAGAGAGTTATATCTAAGTGGATGTACATTGAGGCCATACTCTTAAATTAATAAGACACATGTAAATACCAAATAGTTTCTCTGGTGTGAAAAATTAAAAGTAAATAGGATCAAAATTTATACTTGATATTGTGTAATAGGAAGAAAAATCTAATAAAAGAGTAGAAGAAATGGGTGGGGTAGGGAAAAGAGAAAAAGGGAAAAGAAAAAATATATGAAAAGGAAAAACATGGAAACAATATCTTTGTAAACAGGGAAGGGGTGGAGGTGTTGAGGGGAGGCCTGGGGAATGGGGAAAAATAAGAACCAAGACCTGTTATGTAAAGGTACAAGATCCCAATGATGAATGTAACTGTATTGTATACCTAAAATGTACCAATAAATTTAATAAAGATTTAAAAAGTATATATTACAGCAAAAGACACATTTCATTCATCACCCTCATAGTACTCCAAACACACCCATAGTTCTTGCTACTTTCTGAAGCAGTTCTAGAAGTCTTCTTTCATGTGTCTTTAGTTGCACTGTCATAGCTGTCTCAATGTCTTTAATCTTTTCTTTTCTTTTTTTTTGGTACTGGGGATCAAACCTAGGCCCTCACACTTGGGAGGCAGGCCCCAGAACCACTGAGCTAAATCCCTGACCCTCTCAATGTCTTTATCAATTCAAATGTTTACTTTTCATCATTTTGACTAGAGGAGAGTCAGAAACTGCACGGTGTCAGATCTGGTGAATAAGGTGGATGAGGACTCAACATAATGTTTTTAGAAACCTGCCTTTCTCTTGGAAAGTAGCAGAAGCATTCATTATATTTTTTATCATCTCATAAAAAAACACAAAAGACTCAGAACTGCTTCAGAATGCGGCAAGAACAAAGAGAAAAGTGAGCTCGAAGCAATGGCGAGTATTTTTAGGGTTAATGGCAATATGTCTTTTCTTGTATTCATGTTTTTAGGTTTAAATATTCATAGTTCATTCTGATCAAATCCCTTATATCTCTGCCTGGACTCCTCTGCACAGCACTAACTTCATCAAACCTGTGTCCATTTGTCTCTCTCGTTACTTAACACAGCTGTGTTATTGCATGTTCTGATTATCTGCTTGTATGTGTGTTTCCTTATTTAATAGCCTAGGTGTATGTCTTACTCATCTTTAGATTCGTCCATTCTTGGCACTGTATATAGACCTTGGTGTATATTTAATGCTTATCTGAATCGATAGGGTAGATGTTCCAAATTTGATGTCAGTGTTTTAAGTAACATTACATCAAGTGTAGCAAACCTTCTCTTTTCTCTTGCTCTCTCAGATCAGCATTATATTCACATCATTTTCTTCCTTGGTTTTACATGACTTTTACAGACCTTTAGTGATTACAAAATTTTTTGTTGGGTAATTTTTCCCACTCTTTCTTGAGTTCTGTAAATTCTTGCAGGTAAGGAAATTTACACTAAAGGTTTACTGAATGATTATGAGCATGTAATTAATAAGGAAGACTGAGACTTGGGTTTTTTGATTTCTTGACTGGCACTGGTTTAACTATGTAACAACTCCCTCAGCTCAAATTACCCTTTCTCCCCTGGCTGGCTGCAGCTTTCCATTATTTAGTTCTTTTCATTGTACTTCAGCAGGCCTGAGCTGTAAGCACATAGACAGAATTTTTATGTTGCCAAGCTAAGTATGAGTATTATTTTTAAAAAAGTTTTTATCAGATAGTCTAGTTTAGTATCACTGAAATATTTAATTATAGCATGTTGTATTCTTGTTATTTGAAAAACATACTCATTTTCTTAGTGTTGCTAAATCCTGTATGGAAGTATGTGGACAAGCCAAAAGTGGCCTGTCTCCTCTTTTACAAAGCACACCTGCCTTGGGGGGTACACGTTTCAGACTCACAGGAATAAATGCCGCATCACAGTTCTCATTAAGAATGAGGAGTGCATGGCAGGAGTCTGCGGACCGGATGGTAGCTTTAGTCCTGGAAGACTTCTCAAGAAGCCTGAAAGGAGAGTAGTAGTATGTTCCCCTGAGAAAGGGGAGATGAAGATGGAGTGCTCTGTACAGAGGAAGCTTGTTCTTCGGGGGAGTAACCCTTCTGGGTAGAGACCTGGTCCAGAGAACTGCTTTGACCTGAGGCTGGAATGGGAGTGGGGGTGTAATAAATGTTGGTCGTTATCGTAAAAATCAACTTGTAAGCAAGGAAGGAAGGCTTATGTGGTAATTTAATAAATAATGTTACAGGCTAGAAATAATAGGTTCAGGGGATATATTGGGCAAAATTGATATGTAGGAGATAAAACGTACTGATGATTTGCATGGTAACTATTATCTGAGTAATTGTTTTGTCTTTCCAGCTGATTGTAAAGTCAGTCTAGAATGGATTGAACATTTTTAAATGTTTCACTTACATTTAGTTCTGATAAATTGTGTCTGAGTAGAAATAGTATATATACTTTTTTGGTTTAATATTTTTGTGTTTCATTGCTTCCTACAGACAAAAAGTGAAGACACAGACAAGAATCAAAAAGATTTTCTATATAAATTATGTCTTTATTTCTCTTCTAGGATGGCTGGGTGTGGTGAAATCGATCACTCGATAAACATGCTTCCTACGAACAGGAAAGCAAATGAGTCCTGTTCTAACACCACACCTTCTCTGACCGTTCCTGAATGTGCCATTTGTCTGCAAACATGTGTTCACCCAGTCAGTCTGCCCTGTAAGCATGTTTTCTGCTATCTGTGTGTAAAGGGAGCGTCATGGCTTGGAAAGCGATGTGCCCTTTGTCGACAAGAAATTCCTGAGGATTTTCTTGACAAGCCAACCTTGTTGTCACCAGAAGAACTCAAGGCAGCGAGCAGAGGGAATGGCGAATATGCCTGGTATTATGAAGGAAGAAATGGGTGGTGGCAGTATGATGAGCGCACTAGTCGAGAGCTGGAAGATGCTTTTTCCAAAGGTAAAAAGAACACTGAAATGTTAATTGCTGGGTTTCTGTATGTTGCTGATCTTGAAAATATGGTTCAATATAGGAGAAATGAACATGGACGTCGCAGGAAGATTAAGCGAGATATAATAGATATACCAAAGAAGGGAGTAGCTGGACTCAGGCTAGACTGTGATATAAATTCTGTAAACCTAGCAAGAGAGAGCTCTGCTGATGGTGCGGACAGCATGTCAGCACAGAGTGGAGCATCTGTCCAGCCTCCAGTGTCATCTGCTGTGAGGCCTCTGACATCAGTGGATGGGCAGTTGACCAGCCCTGCCACACCATCCCCTGATGCAGGAGGCACTTCTCTGGAAGACTCTTTCACTCATTTGCAACTCAGTGGAGACGGCATAAATGAGAGGAGTCACAGGGGAGAAGGAGAAGAAGACCATGAATCCCTGTCTTCGGGCAGGGTGCCAGACACCTCCATTGAAGAAATGGAATCAGATGCCAGTAGTGATAGTGAGGATGTATCTGCAGTTATCGCACAGCATTCCTTGACCCAACAGAGACTATTGGTGCCGAATGCAAACCAGACAGTAGCTGATCGATCAGGAACTGACCGGTCAGTAGCAGGGGGTGGAACAGTGAGTGTCAGGTCCAGACGACCTGATGGACAGTGCACAGTAACTGAAGTTTAAATAGATGTCTTCAGCTCCGTGCCCAGGGTTGGATGGTTATCTGTAAATTCCTGCCCACATAACATTATACTCATGCCCAGTAGAGCATTTTGGGAGATGGGTGGGAATGGGTCTGGGAAGGATAAATCTGAAAAACTAAATGTCTAACATGTCTCTGTTGAGAAATAATTATTTAATGTAAGGAACTTGGGTGTTAATAGTTGAGACCTGTTCAGTAATAACCCAGTTTTCTTGACATCTGTTTTCTTTATAGTTAAAAAATTTATTTAGTTCTTTTGGCCAGTGTGTGTAGATTATCTGTGCATTAATGGTCCTCACTTGACTGGCATTGTTATTTTTCTGCATGGATTGACAAAAGTATTACTAAAATTTGGCACCTGTGAGATGTTGGTATCATTATGAACAGGAAGCTTAACGTAATGTGGACATAGATGTGAATTTGGTTTAAAAAATAGATGAGTAACACCAATTTTATAGTAAAGTTATTGAAATGGAAAAGTAAAGAAAACAGCTAATAACTTTTGATTCAGAATCTTTGTAGCACACTTCATGGCGTTTCCTCCCATAAGCTTTGCTGTTTAGCCCTTGTAGTCTGAGGTTTCTCTTGTCTGCATTTTTCTTTTTGATTAAAAAATTTATAATTTAATAAATAGTTTATCAAAAACAACTGTCTTTGGTTTGAGTCTGAAAGAGGGGTGGAAATATTCTGATTGTTGAGATCAAAGGTCATTTAAAAGGTTAAGGTTTGAATTGACCAGCAGTCACCTGCTCAGCTTGATTTCTTCATAGAGAATTCTTAAACAGTATCTGCAGTGTGTGTGGAATAAATATGGTAATGAACCTGAACAGCCTATGAGTCTTGTATTTCTCAAATAATTGATACTGGGAATTTTTCTTTGCAGTGTTCATTAGTGGTCTTACACTCGGTACATGGTAGGCTTATAAACAGAATTAACAGACATGAATTCACCTTACACATATAGATTAGAAAACTGACTTTTACTGGCAGTTTTTATATCTGGGCAAGGTAGAAAGTATTAGGTTAACATGGTAACTAGAATTTGTCTAGAAAAGACAGAGTCTGTTCTTATAGCTGGAAAATGATAAAAGCATATCCAAGTTATTTTTACTATGATTCTCAAATGTGAAATAAATATTACAATAGCAAATAAAGACAGAGTCACTACTTTGAAATGTTGCAATAGGTTAGGATTGAGACTTTGAATTACACATTTTAAAAAAATTACTAGGATCATAAAAGTCTGAATTGCGTTTTTAGTAAACTTATTTTAAATGCTAGTTGTAAAAGCTGATGTTTTTCAGAAAAATAGAAATGTTTTAAGCCGGGTGTGGTGACACACGCCTATAATTCCAGGACTCTGGAGGCTGAGGCAGGAAGATCACTGAGAGTTTGAGACCAGCCTGGGCTACATAGTGAGTTCCAGATCAGTCTCAACTATATACTGAGACCCTGTCTCAAAAAAAAAAAAAGTTTTAAAATGCTGACTTTCGTCATAGCATGCTTGCTTCATGAATCTTTTTAGAGTTTTAAAACTGACAGTACTGTTACCAACTTGGTAACTCCTGGGACTGTGAACAGTGACTTTGTAATATCAGTTAATGTTCTCTATCATGGCTATCGCTAGTAGAAAATTTAAAACAAATGTACAGTTTTTGAAAAGGTCAAGTCAGGTTCCAAATGTGGAGAGGGTAATGGGGTGCATCTTTATTTTTTCCCCTCACATGGAACAGAAGAAAATGACATCATACCTTTTCTTACCCTATGATCCCTCCCCACGTTCTTTAAGTAAAAGGGTCACTATACTGTTTTTGTAAATTATTACCAAGTAAAATGGAAGAAAAGTTTTATGGGGAAAAAGGCAATAGGTTTTCTGTCAGTAGAAGTGACAGCAGCATAGTGATAAAACATTTATCTCAAGACAGAAAACTGAAAGGTGATTCTTTGTTCATATGCTAAGAATCCATTATTGCAATGAAAAACCTGATTCTATAAAAAGTATGTAGTATGTTACCAAATATCTTTAAAAATTGGCCAGTGAGTTCAGATATTCAAAATATCTGAAAACAAATCTGAATACTAGTCGTAAGTTTCAGATTAATTCTGCTATTCATACTTCATTAAACTTTAATATATACTAAAAATTGGAACTTCTCAAGTTATTTATTAAATTTTCCTCTCCTAGCAATAGCTTGTAAATTTGCAGCTCCCCCCCACACTGTTCCTAAAAGATCTCTTTCGTTCTGTAATGCTTCCTCTAAATATAGCTCTTTGCCTGAACAAACAGATTTTTTCAAAGCTCTAATGACTTCTGGTGGCCCATTAACAAACTGTGTCAGCCATGCCTGGGCTTCTTCTAGAGATTTTGTTTCATCTGAGGACTGCAGGATCTCTTCGACCATTCCTATACTTAAAGCTTTCTTTGGATCCAATCTGAGGGCCCCACCTAACACTTTGAGAGCTTCTCTACTGCCTATGATTTCAACCAGCCGGCTGGCGCCACCCCAGCTTGGAATTATTCCCATCTCCTTGTGGACAAATCTGATCTCACTCTCTGGAGTCATTAACCTGAAAGAGAAAAGAGAAAAAAAATTTAACTATATGTGCATGCTTATAATCCTTAAGTACTCTAGGAAAGAGCCACTGATCCTCTTGGGTGAGTGATCCTCTTTGGTGATACTACAAAGGGAAATGTCAGAAAAATGTGGCTGTTTCATCTAGAATTTAATTTACCACATGAAAGGTGGTCCTTAACACCTCTTTGAAAAGAATTTTGTGCTCACTTATCCTTTCCTTGGCAAGTAAGAACCTAGTCTTCATACTTCAGATCCCCAAATTTTCTAATTAAAAAAATGGATCAGGTGAAAGTACTGGCATAAGAAACATAGATCCTCATAGTCCTCAGGAAGCTATCTTTTGCCCAGTATCTGTATAGCAACTATTCACTGAGCACTGTCAATGCTAGGTAGGTAGGTAGGTAGTGTTCTAAGTGCTGAGATTGCAAGAACCACCAAAATAAAATCCGCAGGCGTGGAACTTAAGTTTGGAGATGAGCATTAAACAATGCCAGTGGCTGAGTGTTACAAAGAAGACACGGGGCGAAGGCTAATGAATGGGGATGTGTTTGTTGGCCATGTGCTATTTAAATGGAGAAGGCCTCTGAATATTTCAGCACAACGTAAGGGTATGGACAATGCAAAAATCTGGGGAGAAAGTGTTCCAGGAAGAAGGAATTCCAGTGCAAAGACCTTCAAGTAAAACAGTATCTCAGGACCAGAGGAAGCAAAGAAAGCAATGGGAGATGAAGTCAGGGAAGCAGACTTTCAGGCCTTAGTAACAAGTTCCAATTTCATTCTCAATGAAGTTATTTCAACCAAAAGATTCCCATGTGGTATTTTATAAGGATTGCTCTGGTTGTTGTATGATGACTTAAGCATTTAATAGCACTAATACCAGTTGTTTAAGAATCTTTTGTTAACTAATCATCAAATGAAGCATAGGAGGTCTACTAATATTATCCTCATTTTATAGATGGGGAGATGGAGGCAAAAGAAGTAGCTTATTTAAGGCCACACAGGCAGGGCAGAGGCAAGACTTACACTCAGGTAGTTTGGCTTCAATGTGTGTACTCCTAACCCAAGGCACACAAGTTATTTAGCTAGACGAGAATGAGAGCTGTGACACTAGCAAGTCGGTAATGACTTGACTCAGACTGATGGCAGCGATTTCCTATAACATGGGCTCATTTTTTCCAAGCTGTGAGATTTTTATGAATGGAGTGACAAAAGTAGAATTAAAGGGATTAAAAACAAAGTGCTTCAGTTTGTTTACCAGTTAAATGTTTGTGTATTAACTGACTAAAGCTATATAGTATTAAGGAAATGCTCTCTATGAATTTGTTTTATTAACTGATTCATTTGTTCATTACTCAGTACTGGGGAGTGAACCCTGGGGTGCTCTACCACTGAGCTACAATCCCCAGCCAGCCCTTTCTGTTTTAGTTCATGACAGGATCTCAGTTGCCCCGGCTGGCCAGCCTGGAACTTATTCCCCCTACCTCAGCCTCCATACTAGGATTATAGGCATGAACCAATGAACCGGCCTGAGATTTATTTTCACACCTCGCTTCAACAAGAAGGTTGCCCTATGTTAAACTTAATTTGGGCTACATGTCATGTCAGAACATTAACTTTTTAGGAAAAATTACTTCTTTAAAAGCTATTATTACAAAAAAGACTTTAGTTTGGCTTTCCAAAGTGTTAAGTATTCAACTGCAGGCAATTTACTTCTGTTAGCACGAAGAACAACAAACTCAGGTCTTTGGCCCTTTAATCGGGAGAAATCCTTAATAGAGAATTCACATAAAAGCCTATTTATTAACCCACAGGGAAATTTTCTCTTCACAGCTGTGAATTTGTACAAAGGAAAATATGCCAAAACCATTAACAACCGCTTGTAGCAATAGCTCTAAAAAGTCTCAATTAAAAAAAAAAAAGTTTAAACAGGGAGGAAGAACAAATCTACTAAGAATCTGACTCTATCTCTAAATTGTGACTACTGCCTTCTAACAAAACAGGAAACTGACAAAAATGTAAGGAGCCAAAATTACAGAAATGATGCCTGACAGCCTTAGAGATAGGAAAAGAGTTAATAACCCTTCATAAACTATAGTTTTTCACAGAATGAACTAAGTATGTCACTATTCAAAACTAAATCCTGAAATCACCACTCACACTAGTAAAGAGCTACGCCTACAACAGAAAAAAAAATGGATTAGGTCAGTAATAAATTCATGTTGAATTAGATGAACATAAAAATGGTTAATATCCTAGAAGTATTATGTAGATGACTATGCAACAAAAATTACTGAAATGTAAGTGCATGTGTTTGGAATTCTTTGCTTATAGAGAAGAATCTTCATTTGTTATCATGTTCTTTTTTCCCTTTGCTCTGTTTTACAAGCAAAGTATGGCTTTGAATCCTATTTTAAAATTTAAAAATCCTGAGGTAATCTTTTAAAAAAATATGTGCTGTAATCAAATTGACCTCCATTCTTTATAAACCACGTGCCTAGGATATGCCTGTGTATTGATATAAATTTATACATTAAATATTACATGTGATAAAAAATTCACTGGTGACCAATGAACACAAAGTGCTTAACCAATGAAAGTACTAGAGAACACTGAGAAAGGAACCTTTTGTAGAACTCTATTAAATAGTGAAATTTAAAGATAAAATATTAAAATGTTTACAAATGTAAGAAATAGAAAAGGCTTCATTTCACAGGATCATGAGCCAAGTTCAGCTGCTGTCACCTTGCGACTCACTGCAAGGGATAATCTCTTAATCCACATAGATCGAGGACGTGGCTCTTAGAATTCTGAAGACAGGACAGACTCAGTTTATAAAACTGTATGAAACTCCTATTTTGACAAGTGAGAATTAAAGTGTCTTCAGACTGTGTGATCCCTACTGGTGATGTTCCGGATTTCCTCCGGCATCTTGGAGGAGATGAGCTGAGTCAGATGTAGCCATGTCCCGTGTTACTGTGTGGGAGAAATGTGGTTCTGGGATAAACTACCCACACTGGTGAACAAGCGCTGTTGCCTGGAAAGACATAAGGAAGCCACTACTTTCTGACGGGCTAGCCCTGCGCTTCAACATCAATAGGTGTGCTCAAGAAAAATAAATTTTAAAAGAATTTATCAAATTTTATTAAAATAAATTTTTAATAAAAGATACAAAAATGGCTTCAAAACATGTTCTTTGCTGAGGAAAAGTCCTTCTAGCACTCTGAAGAAGGAAGCCTGTGTCGAGTGGGGAGATGACACAGCTTTGCTGGGAAGCATTGGACTCAGAAGCCAGCATACCTGGCTTGAAATCTAGCAGCCACTGGACTGCATCCCATGCCCCACGAAATACAGCAACAGAAAAGGACATAGGGCTTAAAGAGGATGAGGAAGGCTCGACTACAGATCTTACGCAGTTACTCTTGGCCTCAGTTTGTCTATAAAATAGATGAAGTAATACTACTTATACCATAGAATCATTGAGTATGAAATGAATTAGTATGTGACAGATACTTAGGACAAATAAACTACAATTCCCTTACAGATAATCTTGGACTAAGTTTGCTTTGAAAATCATATATGAAATTGCCTTACCACATTATAGGAGAAATGGAAATAGTAGAGTTGTATATATTTGTAGCCTGACATAAACTATGTGTACTAGGTTTTATTACTCAGTTATACTGATAGTTCAAATTACAGCAGTGTTTCTGCTAGAGAGGTATAAAGTTATAGTATAAAGTTTCTTGAACTATGATCACTGAATCCCTAAAGAATTCAAAGTAAAAGAGCTATAATCACACTGCGAACCCCAGGCAATGATAGCACCCTATCCATGGTGGCTATGTAAGCAGAGACCACACAATGTACGCAATTCTGATACTGCCAAATGAACAGAGGTAACGCTGTGTTCTACTATGTCTGGAGCCAGATTCCAAGGCAATTTTTTAAAAAACCACACTTACCAAAAACCTCCATGATTGAAGGAAAACTATACAATATAAGTAACAAATATATTAAAATTTTAAAGTGCTGACAGTATAAAATAACTACTATACTATAAATGGGTAAGCACTGACTTAAACACACTCCAGGGTGACAGAATTCTGATCTTTTGATGAGCGTGACAGCCATGGACAAGGCAGAGGATGCTGACGTGGAGAAATACAATGCAGGACAGTGGTGGTGAACCCTTTAGAGACAGTGCCAAACTGCAACCCAAAACCCACTTATTTATCACAAAGTGCCAATACTGCAATTAAACCTGAATACTGAGATTTTAGTTTAGGAAAAATAACTCTGCATTTAATCATCTTGTATTGAAGGTTATACAACTGGCAGCATCTCCAATCAAACTATGCTTCACTATCATGCCTTGAACATAAATGCTTGCTTGTTTGCACACGTATTCCCCTTTCACTTTCTTTCGTTTCTATCTGCCATCACCTTACAAGACAAATGAAAAATACAAGGAGAGAACCCAAGGGTTCTCCCTATAATCTCATCTTTTGATTCCCAACTCTTAGGACCACCCCATGAGGCGCCCTGTGGTTCATGCAAGACAGTTTCAACAAGAAGGGATGTGGTTGAAGAAGAGAACATGTTTATTTGTGTGTGGTCATGGTCGTAGATGCAGGGAGTGGATTAGAAAATGCTTTGTGCTAGTCAAGTATGATTAATCCATTTAGTAACTCTATCATGATCAAAGACAGAGTTTGGTGATATTGCATACAGGCTGTAAAGTAAGAATTTCCAAGTAATGTAGGGGTAACTACAAAACAAAGCAACAGGGCAGTGTGTTCCAGAAGCAGGCATCTCATATTCAAAGTCCAGGCACTTGCAAGTCAAAAATAGAATTAGGACCTTTTGAGTGTGTGTGTGTGTGTGTGTGTGTGAACATCACAACTGTGTGTATATATTTTATGTATATATTTTTAATTTTATTTTTAAGCAAGTATTTTAAGAAAAAGGCTACACACAGCAAGTTCTCTTAAA